ATGACTGTATCAATTTATGTCATCATCAAAGGTATCAGGGAACCCATCCCCACAAGCTAGGCAGCTTTAAAAACCACCAAATGTTAAATTCTTCAGTGAAGTGAGGGTTATGGGAGACAGGAAGGCAAAATACTTTAGAACCAGCACCCTGAAAGGCAAGCCCCTGGCCCAAGTCCCCCAAAAACAGATTAACAGAGAAAAAGTGAGGGGACTGTAAAGACAATACTCCCAGAGGAATTGAGGGGGACATCACATCCGTACAAGAGCAGACCAATATGAAAATAGAAATAAACACACTGGAAATAAAAGTTTGACTACTCAACATGTTTAAAAACCACAATGGATGAGAAGAAAAAAAGGGCAAATTAGTACTATTACTTGTAAAATCTGGCTGCAGTATTTTAGATCCCAATCCCAAAAGGGCACACAAATGAGCAAGGGTATAAATAACATGGGAGGAAAATTAGCAGACAAAGGTCTAGAAGTTTGAACATGCATCTAACATGAATACCAAAGGAAAGGAGGAAGATAAATAATCCAAGAAATAATAAAAGAGAATAGTCCTGACCTGAAAAAATATTGGCAAGGAAAATCAAAGTAAAATCACATCTTGACACTGACTGTTTTCACTTTGTCTTAGAAATTTTTCCATGTCAGAATATAAACATGAACTTCAATTTTCTTGATGTTACACAGAAGTCCATATATATATATATATATATATATATATATAAATATAGGCATAGTATAGTTTTTTACTTCACTTTCTTTTAATAATATCTAATTTCCAATGGTAGCTGTTAGACCATGTCTAATGAACATCCTTGTGCATACATCTTTGTAGACCTGGGTGAATATTTTTGTTGAATGATTCTTAGAAATGTTAATGCTGAATTATATTTAAATTTTTCATAGCTGCTGCTAAGATGACCTCTGGAAAGCTGTAACAAATGAAATTTATGAAAAAGTTGATTTATCTTATCAGCATCAGCACCAGATATCAAGGTTTATTATATTTATTTCAAATTAATGGGTGAAAATTTGCATTTCCCCATGATGTGTTAAGACTGAGATTTCTTTCATAAATAATATTCATATTTTCTTATGTGAATTGTCTGTCCCCTCTATTCATTTCTCTCTTTGGTTTATTGCTTTCTTTAAACATTGAATTTTACAAGTTAGCTTGTACTCTTGCTCACCAGTAGGTCCTTTCCTACAGTGATACCTCAGTTCACAAATGCTTTTGTTTGTGAACAATTTGATTCACAAACAGAAGTATTTAGCAAAGTTTTGTTTTTGTTTGCAAACTGCACTGAATGATGAACATGACCACTTCTCCCTTCTCCAAGAGAACACAAACATGGTCATCTTTCCCCAAATCGTGGAATGAATGAAGTTCATGAGCTGAGGTAGCACACTGTATCTGCTATCTTTCTTCAGGACTTTAAGACTTTTTTCTACTACGTCTTTTTTATTTTTTCTAGCTATTCTCCATGTTCTTTCTTCTGAAATTCCTATAAGAAAAATTTATCAATGTTTGGTTGTATATTTCATAACACTTAAATTTTTAAAAGATGGCCCTTCTTCACTTTTTTGCTAATACCTTTTGTGAGACTCATTAGCTTGCTCTTCCAGTTTGCTAAGTTAATTTTCATTTGTCAATTCAGCCCATACATTGAGTTTTTAAAAATATTTTGACAATCATGGCCTTAATTTCCAAGGACTCTGATTTTATCTTTTTCACAGAGGCTTTGTTTTTAAATAAACATGACATTCTCTTAACTCTCTCTCTGGGATGTTCACTTAATGACTTGAAATTTTCTTCTGCCTGTTTTCTTGTAATCAGTATACTCCTGGGTTTGGTGCCTCTCTCAGGTTCTGAATTTTCTGAAATATCTGGCAATTCTTGGCTGTCTGTTGATATTTGCGGGTGGCTAGAAGACATTTCCTTCCTCCATGTGAGAATCCAGTTGGTGTGAGCACGCTGCATGTCCTATCCATTCTCCCGAGCTCCTTTCTCCTGGTGCCGTGGCCTCTGCCCTGGAATTCTGCTAGGGAATCTACTCTGTCATTGCACATTCACCCCTGCAGCATCACAGCTTCTGTTTCATTTCATCATGGGTCTGTTCTTAGACTGGTTTCCTGTTCCCAGAAACCCTTTCATCTTCTGAACGGAGACACCACCCCTCCTGACTGTCCACAGCCATACTGACTCTTTTTATTGCTGTATTTCTTCCATCATGTTAGTGGGAGCTGGGGAAAAGAAGAGGCAAACACTAGTGTATCCTTAGCCACAGTGAACTGTAAGACACTTCCTGGAATTATTTCATGAGAATACTTTACCAGAGTGGGGTTATTGGATCAACGAGCAGAAACGTTTTTGGAGTTTTTGATCCATATTTACAAACTGCTTGCCAAATGGAGGGACAGATCAGAAGGCAGTGGCCTTGACAGGGTCCAGGCTGGGATGTAGTCTGATTCCTTCAACAGCCAGTTGTGTAACCTGAGTCCGAGAACTTGTTTCCTCATCAGCAAGGTTGGGATGGCGGTAGAAGCAACATGAAAGGACACATCAAGGATGAATTATAAGAAGCATCTTCACTGAGGCCCAGCCTATAAAAGATGCTTGATTAATGCTGTTTGTCAGCGTTGTTTCAAATAACTGGTTTGTCAGCATCAAAGAGTTTTGGACTCGACCAGGTGCTTGGGGCGGCGTTTGCTTTCATGGCCATGGGTGCTTCGTGCTGTTGGATAAAGCCCTTCCCAGCTCAGTATGTCCATCTCCATCAGGGGACCCTCTTCCCACCTTCTTCTCTGTGAAGGTTTGCTGTTGCTTAGGAAGCCCTGAGAGACGCAGAGGTGGAATCCCTGACAGCTCGGCTGTCTCAGTGCAATGCTGAGTCCTGAGCGTCCCCCCCCAACACAGCCCCAGCCCCGATCCAGCGAAGCCAAGATCAGAGATTAGCCAGGAGTCACCTCTGACAGCAGAAATACCTGGTCCTTCTTCCGGGCCAATTTCTCGTAATTTAACTCTTCCTCATGGAGGATGTTGGTTCTTGACTTCCTTTTCCTATTCAAGAACCTGTCAATCAGAAATCCCAGTAACCCTCACTAGGGAGGAGAACTGAAGCAGGACGGTGGGCCCTGCGCCTCCAGGCCCAGGATACCAGAACCAAGCATTTCCGGATGCCAGGACGGGAGGAAGGGCTGGAGGTGGCCCTCTCAGAAGAGCCAAAGCCACTGGCCGGGGGCACAATGGCCTGGGGTGTCGGGAAGCATAAGAGATAAGATTTTTTTTTAGACCCAGCTTAACAGCAGAGAAACAGGGGAAAAGTACTTGCTCCAGAAGGAGGGCGGAGCCAGGGCTGCGGTCAGCCTGGGCCAGCGCTGTCAGAGGTTACTGAGCCAAGGGTCTGGTGGGCGTGGGGTGGAGGCATAGTGGGGCGGGAGCGGAGTAGAGGGAGGGTGGTGTGGAGGAGCAGCAGAAAGGCTGTGGGGCGCTCTGTTTCTGTTTTGACTTAGTGAGCAGTTAAATGAGCACATGAAATACAAAATAAAACCAAAGTGCAGGGCGTGAGCTTTACGTCAGCGGGTCGCCAAGCAGCAGGCGCCATCACCCAACAAACTCTTCTTGCTTCCTCCTTCCGGTCCATCCACAGCGCGGCGGGCCCCTGGGGAATGGGCTGAGCGGAGGCCGCAGGGCTGGCTGGAGGGGCTCGCCCAGGCTGAGTAAGCAGAGACGAGGACCGGGCCTGGAGCAGCTCTGGAGAAGGGGCCTGCACCCCACCGGCCTTGTGGCCCTGCTCTGCACCCAGCTGGCCTTCCTTCAGCAGCCAGCGCGCGGAGTGCCACGCGGGACCCCCTCCAGCAACGGGGTGACAGTGCCGATACGCTGTTCCCTGACTTCTTGCTGGGAGAGGGGAGCGGGCCCAGAGAGATGAAGCAACTTGCTGCTAGGAAGGGGAGCCTGGTGGTTCCTAAGGTTTCGGCACAGTGTGGTAAAATGGCCAAGAAGCTCTGAGTCCCAGGCAACCTCTCAGAGCACCTGTGAGGAGGACAAGGACAGAACTCCTGGGAGGGAGGGAGGCAGGGAGGCTGAGGCCCCGAGCAGCCCTGGAAACGAGCCCACTCCACTCCACCGTCTGCAGTGAGCTCGCTCGGAGGCGTCCTGCCTGGGAGGTTAGCGCTGAAGGGGCGAATGAAGGGCTCCTGTGCCCGGGCCTGCTGCGCCTCTCCCCCGGGGCTACCTTCTCCGGGTGTCCTGCTGCCCCCTCCTGGGGCTCTGGCCAAGACTGGAATCATCAATGCCTGCACCTCTTCAGGGGAAATAGCTAAGTTTCTTTCTGATTGCAGGCAAAATACCTGCCAGATGCAAAAACAAATTAGGAAATTAGGAAATGAGCCTGCAGCATCTCTCAAACGGTTCAGGTGCAGAATGGAGGCCTGTGGACCACTGGAAAGAATGAAGACGTCTGTAAATCTTGACACCCAGAAGATCCGAGGCCAGGTGAAAACAGGAAGGTGTAGGAGAATGTTCCAGGGAAGAGCATGGGGGCTGGGAGGGAGATTTCTCACTTCAGAGACTGAGATTTGCAGGTTTGCTTTCCTGTGATTTTTCAATTCCTTCGAAGATGAAGTAAAAATTTGAAAAAGGGGCCAGGGATTTGGCTCAGTGGTTTCGCTGCCTGCTGCGCAAGCGCAAGGACCCGAGTTCGATCCCCGGTACCAAAAAAAAAAAAAAAATTATTAATAAAAATTAAAAAATTTTAAAAATTTTGAAATAAAATTATCATTTGGTACTCAGTGAAAATCACTCTTTCAACATACATTCTTCCAAATTTTATTTTCATCTATCATTTTTCTGCTTGTTTTTGTGGGTCTTATTCTGTTCCTCTTTCTTCATAGCTGTCTTCTTTAGTGTTAAATAGATGTTTTCTAGTGTAGCATTTTAATTCCCTTGTTTCTTCATTCTTTTTTCTTTTTTGTGTGTGTTTGTTTGTTCTGAGGCACTGGGGGTTGAGCCCAAGGCCTTCCCAACCCTTTTTAATTTCTTTCTAAATTTTAACACAGGGCCTTGCTAAGTTGCTACAGTGCCCAGGTTGGCCTTGAACTTGCAGTGCTCCTGCCTCAGCCTTCCAGAGTACTGGGAAGACAGGCGTGTGCCACTGTGCTTGGCTTAAAACTGTATTTCTCTTCCTACATTTTGAAATTTATTTTCTTTGTGGTTGCTCTGAGAATTACTATTAGAACCTTAATTTAGAGCAATCTGCAATTTCAACAGTATGCAGAGACTTTGTTGAAATATGGCTCCATTCTCTCCTAACTCCTTTGTGCCACTATCGTCAAACAAATTACATCTTTACACATGATACACATCAGCATTCTTTAGGCAGTTATCTTTGAAATCAGAGAAAAAGAATGACACACTCTCTACTATATTAACCTAAGTTGTTACCCTTTCCAGTGTTCTTTATTGTGTGTGCATCGCCTTTCCTATTACTTCATTTCAGCCCAAAGGACTCCTTTTAGTATTTCTTGTAGGGCAGGTATGATAATGACAAATTCTCTCCAGCTTCAGTGATCTGAAATATCTTATCTCCACCTTCCTTTTTGAAAGGCAGTGTTGCTGACTGTAGAATTCTTTAGTGATAGTCTTTGTCATTTAAGACTTGTATCATTCCACTGCTGTCTGACCTCCACTTCTGATGAAAGCTCCTTGAAAAATCTTATTAAGGATCCCTTGTACGTGGTGAGCCATTTTTCTTTTGCTGATTTCAAGGTTCTCTGTGTCTTTGACTTTGAATATTTTGATATCTCTTTGTGTACATTGACTTACGTTCACCTCACTGGGAGTTAATTGAGCTTCTTGGGTGTATAGATTAAATATTTTTCATTGAATTTGAGAAATTTTTGGCCACTATTTTTAAAAGTATTCTTACCATATTTTTCTAATTTTCCTCTCCTTCTGGGACTCTTTTATGCATATGTTGGTACACTGGGTAGAATTCTATGGGTTTTCTAAAGCTCCAGTGTGTGTGTGTGTGTGTGTGTGTGTGTGTGTGTGTGTGTTACTACGGATTGAAGCTAGGGCCTTCACACTGAGCTATAACCCCAGGCCTTTATATTTTGAGACAGGGTCTTCTTAAATTGTCCAAATTGGCTCAAACTTGCAATCCTCCTGCCTTAGTCTCCCAAAGTACTGGTATTATAGGCATACACCACCACACCTAGCTCATTTATTTATTTTCATTCCTTTCTCTCTTCATCAGAATAATCTCAATGGATTTATCTTCAAATTCATTCACTTTTTCTTCTACCTCCTCAGATCTGCTCTTGAGCCCTGCTAGTGAACTTTTCATTTCAGGTATTGTACTTTTCAATTCTAAAATTTCCATTTAATTATTTTTTAAAGTAATTTCTACCCTTTTATTTAAATTATCTATTTGATGGGACATTGTAGTAATATTTTCATTTCATCTTTTAGATCTGATTTCCCTTAATTATTTGAACATATTATAATAGTTGATTTAAAGTGTTTAATGATCCAGTGCCCGGCCCTCTTCATGGACAGTTTGTATTGATTGTTCTTTTCCTGTATATTGTCTATTATTTTCTGTTTCTTCTTAAGTCTCATAATTTTTTTTGAAAATTGTAGTATATAATATAATGTGGCAAGTAAGAAAATCAGATTCATCCCCTCCAGGGTTTCTCGTTGTTACTATTTGTTCGGCAGCTTTCTTGCATCGCTTGTGTAGGAGCTGCAGGAGCTGCAGGTGCTGTAGGGTGAGGCTACAGCAGATTCTGCTCAGTCAGCTCAGCTGTCGGCTGATGAGTGATGATTACCTTCAATGCCCTGAACCCCTACCTCTCACACCCTGGCCATGGGGCTCTGGGTGCTGGACCTGCCTCCACCATGAAGCGGTTCACCCCTTGGCCTTAGGGCTCCCTGTTTGCTTGTGCAGAGCCTCAGGTAAGCTGGAGTGAGAGATGGGGTTTTCTTGTTTCTTTGCAGCCTGTGCACAGCCCTGGATAGACATGTGGTCTCTGGGTCCCCAGGACCACGTCACAGTTTTCTGTGGATGTCCAATTCCTTCAGTCTTCATTTTAAATATTTGACCAGGCTCTTTAGTGTCAGTACTCCATGATGGGACTTTCTGAGACACTCCAGGCCCAGCCAGTCTAAGGATCCACTGCTGCTCATCAAAAGCTGACATTCTGCTCTATCTTTTCTTATCCATCTCTACTGCCCTGTTTGAAATAAAGGATATACCAAAATTTCTGAAAATGTGGCCTTATTTAAAGCCACACAGAGGTGGGTTTGATGTGATGTCACATAAAGACTCAATGTGAGTTCTAAGTTGGCATGGTGATGCACACTTATAGTTCCACCACTCTGAGAGACTGAGGCAGGAAGACTGCTAGTTTAAGCCCAGAGTGGGCAACTTAGTGGTTCAGTGAGACCTTGTCTCAAAATTTTAAATGAGTGGGAATGTAGCCAGTGCGGAGCCCGCATTCAATTCCGAGTGCTGCAAAACAACACCAACAACAACAACTGAACCCTGTTTTCCTTTCTTTTTTGCTGATGGGACGTAGCTGCCTTTATTCCCAGTACACTAGGAGCTCGTGTTGCAGGATAGAATCAGAATAAGTCTACTCAACCTGGATTTCCTCCCGTGATGTCCGCTGCAGCCTCAGCACCCTGGACCAAGGGGCGCTGCGTACCATGTGGTTTTGCCAACTCCTCCTTCTCCTCAGTGGCCCTGGGGCCTGGATTGGAGAGGGTGCCAGGCCCCTGGTGCTTTGCAAAGTCATCCACAGCCCCCCAGGCTGCACCCCACAAGGACCAGGCCCTGTTCCTCTGCGCCACCATCCCCAGCACACAAAGCAGCCTGGGAACGGTCCGGCTGCCGGGCCTTTGGCCCCTTCCGTTCTGGGTTGGACTGGCAGGGGAGTTGGCAGCAGGGTGGGCAGCGTGGGGGAGAGAGTGTGCCATTTCTACAGAATCACGTTTCCCACTTGATTCAAAACCAAATCTTTAATAATATATAGATTCTAAGTGGCTGAAGGCTTGGTGTTGCCAAGTCCTAGCATAAAGCATATTTTTACAGCTGAGATGATAGAGCCCTGAAACACGACACTTACCATGGAAACGCTGACACAGCCTTTCATTCCCTTTGCAGTGATTAAAATCCTCATTTCCATTTGTTTTTCTTTATTTGGAGCAGGAGTTGGAGTTATTCGCAAGCCCAGGAGCGCATCTCGCTGTGATAGAAAACTAAATGCTGCCCCCTGTCAGAAACAAAATGGAACTGTCCTCAGCTCACGAGTGAGGTGAAGCTTGGTTTGGAGAGTCTTGGAAACCCAGGAAAGGAGACAGGGTGTAATGATCTTGCCTGTGTCCCAGGGTGAGCATGGCAGGGAAGGGAAGACAGGGCTGGGGGTCTGGAATCAAAGCAGAGGCCACCTCCTGGAGGAATCCTGCAAGACAGTGCAGATAATCCCAGACCTGTAGTCTCTGCTGACCACAGATGCTTCTAACTGATCCCCCAGAACGGCTCTCTATGTTTCCAGATCTTTTGACTGGAGATCTGTAATGGATCTGACCACACATTTAACTCTGCCAGAGAGATCTCAGCAGACCTCCTGGTCTGAGAGCTGATGGGGCCTTGCGTTTCCCAGCCTAATACAGCTTCACCGAGTCCACAGATCACATTAGACCCGAGCCTGGTGGGACTCGAGCATTTCCTGGTTTCCCATAGCTTTGCAACAGTTTTCTAAAGCATGGGCACTCACAATCAAGCTGAGGGTGCTCCTCGGAATAGGGGTTCAGGGGTCAGACTCTCCCAAAGATCATCATGCCCATTAGTGCACTAAAAGCTCTCAGCAGCCCTGTAGGGAATAAATCCAATTAGCCTGGTTTAACTCAGTGCTTCCAACGTATATGATTATCTCCAGGCCACTTCTTGGAATATCTATTATCCCGTAACATGATTGGTAACACTATACACAAAATGCTTTGCTTTGCATTTGCCTTTTTCCTCCTCATTTTAGGGAATTTAAAAAATATCGTATCATATATATTGCACAAGCATTGCATGCTTATTGTGGAAGGACTGGAAAAATACAAATAAGTCACAAGGGAAAAGAAGGCACTTCGATGCAGCCTGTGGACACTGCGTCCATGCTGCGACACCCTTCTGTGACAAGGACTTTCCATGACCATGGAGCCCGTCTGTGCTCCCTGGACTATGTTCAACTTTATAACCTCTGGTTCTAAGGAGCAGGTTTCAGGAAACAAAACACATTTCAGCCAGTAAAGGCCACAGAGTAGTTTTGAATCATTTCCAAAGCCCCAGGTGGAGGACAATTCCTCTACCATATGTGATACCTTGCACAGGGAATAGCCAGCCAAGAAAATAAATGAACTGGTAAGAAGAGGGACAGAATGACATACGGTGACTCCTCAGTTGTAATGGAAAAATAGTTATAAAAAACCAAGACTGGAATAACCCAAGAATTAGGGAGCTTGTCTTGGAGGAAGAATGCAAAGATGACTGTAAGCAAAGCCCAAAGATAAGTGTTTTTTCAAGCACCTCATCTCCCCAGCAAAGCTGGCAACAGTGGGGATTCAAGCAGAAGGGGCACTGTCACGGGGGACCTTGTGTGGGAGGTGACAGGGCCCCTGGCACCACCGGACAAGCTCTGGGCTTGCTTGGCAGCGTGGGCCCCACGACCTGCAGAGGCAGCAGCCATGTGTGGAGGACACAGTGGCTCTGCATGAGCAGGTGTCACCGTGACCTTGCAGCAGGCCCAGAAGGAAGGCGCTATTGTTAGCCCTTTCCATAAATATGCCATGAACCCTAGAGAACATTTTTTCCTCGGTCTGAGCTCAGAGAGAGTGTGGAGAACCCAGGAGCACACAGCGAGGGGTAGAGCCAATGCCTCCGCAATTACAAACCTGCAAGCTCAAAGCTTGAGCTCTCTCAGGATTTTTCAGTTACACTTTGAGAAGAGAGAAATCTTGCTGCCTTATTTTAACATTTGAAGTTCTATCTATCTGAAGTCGTGGGGAGAAGACCAGACGTCCTTCTCAAGATAATGGCTTCTCTGAAAGGGCTGAGGGCAACTCCAGCTCTGTCCCTTGGCTGCTGAAGGCCTTTCTGGGGTCCGCTCTCTACCCACAATTACCACTCACCATCTCTGTGTCAGACGGCTGTCCGCTGCTGTGACAGAACACCTGAGACAATAATTTAAAGGAGGAAAGATTTACTTTGGCTTGAAGTTTCAGAAGTTTCAGTCGTGGTCAGCTGGCTCCCATGCGGTGGCAGCTCTACTCCTCCAGGCCCTTCGGCCAGGATGTTTCTGCTCAGCTCAGGGTGGTCAGGAAGAAGATCAAGCAGGACGAGAGCCCACGAAATGGCGCCCCCTTGCATGTCGTGTCCCGGTGACCCTCTCCCACCACCCAGGTCCCTTCAGACAGCCCCCTCAGCCCCTGGGCAGACCCTCACAGTCGCACGCCATGGGCCAAGCAAGACCCTGCCAGCCATGGGAGTGGGCACTGCCAGGGAGGCCTGGCAGGTGCCACTCTGTCCCTCCCGGGAGATGCAGCCCAAGAGGAGCGAGGCTTGGGTGGGCCACACTGACCTGCATTGTGTCTTAGGCTCTTGGCACTGCCTGGCGACTCCTCCCGGCCTTCAGGCCTTCGTGAACACAGCAGGCCCTCACCCCAGACTGCCCAGCCAGCACTCCTCTTCCTCCTTCCTTGCACTGTCTCCCTGATGTCATCCCCTCCCTCCCTCTCTCTCCCTCCCTCTCTCCCTCTCTCTCTCCCTCCCTCTCCCTC